TTATTTAGTACAAAGTGATTGTATTGTTCCCTACTATGTTCATACTTTTTCTACATCATTTCCCTGGATAGAAGGTATTTTTGTTTTTAAATTTCAGTTTGAAATGGCTTGTTGGCATTGTATAGTTCTATTAGTTCATGAATTTTATATGTGAATATGTTTTGAAAACGCTGGTAAAATGAATGCTTCAAAATGAAAGCTATATATTAGATGTTGGTTTATTGATTAACTGAGTAGAAAATAGGAATGGTAAGGCTAGAGACTTTAAGTTACTTTGGAGACAGTATGAATCTTTTCTGTAACCATTATTACAGTTTGTTTAGCAGAGGTATCTGGTCTTCATTCCAGTCTTGATAATGAATTTCAATTTTATATGGTACTCTCTCCTTTTTTTTTTTTTTTTGGTACCAAGGATCGAACTCGGGTCCAGCAGCGGAACCACTGAGCTAAATCCGAGGCCCTATGTGATACTCCTTTAAAGAGCCGTTTGGGTGTGTTTGGCTCTATTGCTTTAATAATGACATGTCTGATAGTTTAAGAACTGTTTCTTTCTTTACCAACCTTGAATCTTGTACTGCTGATAACAGGGAGGTTATTTTATTACTCTCAGAATCTCTCAATGTGAGGAGTGGGAAGGTCACTTTATGTCTCAAGCTTACTCTGTTATTTGTTCCAGAGGTTGGTAAACTTATAAATGGGTATCACAATTGAATTTTGAATCAATAACCCCAGACACTGAACCATATGTTTTAATGAGAAGCTGGATTTTTCTTACAGTGGTTACATAGTGCTGTTAGTTTTCTGAAGATATGGTAGACTTAGAAAAGATAATTATGAACACACAAGGTACTATAGTTTCTCCTAATGTAATTATAATTCATTCTTCTAAAAGGCTCACTGAGGTCCACCACATTTTTTTTTTTTTTGCTGTGATTTTGTTACTCTGGCTGACTCCACAATAAATTTAAAGTCATAAATGATACCCGAACTGAATTTATTGCTTATTTGAAGATCTCAATTTGCTAATAAGAAAAAGAAAAAGTTCTGTATATACATTTGTGAGGTTCTTGATCCTTTAGTTGTTATACACATATGGCTTATTTCAAAGATGAACTAAGAATCCTCTGAAATGTGTGTGTGTGTGTGTGTGTGTGTGTGTGTGTGTTTAGAACAGGTAAATTGGATTGGATTTTAAAAAAAATTATATTGGAATTTATGGGCCAGACTTTAATTTCCATTCATCATTCCCTGTCTCCCGGAAAGTCAATACTGAGATAAAGACCAAGGTATCACTAATTGTGACGTATTTAATCAGAATTTTTCCCTGATATTTTGATAGCTGTAGGAGTAATTTATTGGAAATTTTCATTTTAGTAAATATACACTTTATAAGTTTTTAATTTTTTATTTATAAGTGTCTGACATATCACTTTGATTTTAAATCAATTAAACAATCTAATGAGATGGGATTCCACTTAGTAGGATTTCAAAGTTTTCTTTCATAGGTAGTGGAAAAATCTTATAAAAGTTAGTGATTAGAGCAAGGTGATTCTCATTCTTGAAAATATATAAATGTCTGTCAATATTATATTACTTTCTCAAATTTAACTTCCCACTTTCTTGAGTGATCAAAATCCAAGTTTAAAATAGGGGAAATAAAGCAGTTATTTATATTTTTATATCTGAAATTATAGTAAATAGAAAGGCCTTTTGATTTAACAATTTTAAGTATATTATTAGGCTATTTTAATGTGTATAAAGAATAGAAATCAATAATAAATTTGAAACAAGCTTCTACATCAACGTATTGCTATGAGTAAAACTGTTAGACCAAGAAAAAATCTTGTAATTTTCTAATTATTGTCATTCTATGAAATTTAAGTAAAGCTGGGACTTTATTGTCACAGTTTGTACATAGTTTGTTAAAAACACTGATAAAGGAAATGAATCAGAATGAAATTCAGTAAAATATGTCATTAGATGGGAAAGTGGAATTTTTTCTCTTCAAGCCTGCTTTTCCAGTGACTAATGATAGCCTTACAATTTTTATTTCTTAAATATAAAAAAAACTCTCATTTGCACATTGTGCTTGTCTATTGGCAGTTTTGATTAAAAACTTTTTATCTAGATAGAATAAAAACTGAAACATTTCCACCCCAGGAATGTGACAGTATGTTGTTGCTTTGATCTCCTAATAACACATTTTGTTCTACACTGTTTTTATATATATAGGCATGTCTTACTCAATGATGGGCTTCATTCTGAGACATGCATCATTAGTTGATTTTAGCATTGTGTGTGCATCATATAATGTACTTAAGCAATCCTGGATGGTAGAGGTCTCTTGATGTAGCATCTAATGCAATCAAGAGACATGGTAGGGGCCTGGGATTTAGCTCAGTGGTGCTGCTCCTGCCTGGCAAGCACAAGGTCCCGAGTTCAATCCCCACTTCCAGAAAATACAAAACAAAACAAGAGAGAGACATGGTAAATGAGAGCTATATGAGGGTACTGCCAGCATAACATGGATTTTGTTTTACAATGAAATATTTATGACTGTATTCCAAAATAATAAAAGTATAGTACATGTATAAACCATTAACATAGTCATTTGTTACCTTTACCAAGTATTGCTTTCTGAATATAATTATATGTGCTATAGTTTTATAAAACAGACAACACAGTAGGTTTGTTTACATCAGGATCACCATGTGAATAATGTACTGTACTATGATGCGAAGATAGCTAGGACATCACTAGGTGAGAGGAATTTTTCAGCTCCATTGCAGTCTTGTGAGCATAGTTTTGTCCGTGGAGCCTGTTGTCAATGGAAACTTACTTATGCAGTGCATAATTGTATTTATGTATTCAATGGGACTTACTTCTTTTCAGAAAATGGGGATTTTATTTTATTTAAAAATATGTAATTTTCTGAAAGTTACCTTTCTCTGTACAAGATAATCTGATCAATTGGCATTCATCAAGGCATAAACTTTAGAGTTTTGTTTGTCATAGGTAAACTTCTATGCTATAACTGGGACATCCAAGTGGTGACAAAATTGTAAGTTATTTGTTTTAAGTACTGTGATCATTGTTTAATTTTAGTTGAGGTTTAAGAGGTAACATAGGGAATATGAAAAACTATTCTTATTGAATCAAATGTTTTTTTTTCTTTTCATGGCTATTTTAGATAAAGATTTAAGCAAATAGGTAGGACCATGGTTTGTTTTGAGCATCTTTATTTATTTCACTGTATAAAAAATCCATTGCTCACTACTAGATGTCTGGTCAGAGAGCTTATTTCATAACAATTTTCATAGGAAATAGGTGCTTTGAAATGCATTCTCAGCTGTATGATATGTTTGTGATGGTTTTTCTTGAAGGTAAGTTTAAAAGTAACACAGGAGACATCTGCTCGAGTTCTTGCTGATGTATGTGATACCTGCATCCTAATGGATTGTATTGCAGCCCGTAAGTTTTTGACAAATAGCTGAGCTCCAAAAAGCTCTGTCAATTGTGCTGAAAACCTTCGTGATGTATGAGCATGTTTTGCAGATGAATTCTTATGTCAGCCTCCATGTGATAGTGATTCATCAGGTTGTAAAATTTGTATTTGGGAAACACACTAAATTAGTGTGCTCCACATTTTAGTTGTGTTGAAAACACATTTTGTCCTTCCATTTTAAAGAGTTCATAACAGCTACCTTCCACATTGTCAAAAACAGCTAGGATTTAATTAGAAACTGTCAGTGCCATCACAAAGGAAATGTCTAATAGTAACAGAAAAGTTGGTTTGACTGCAGTGGAAATGCTTACAGGCCAGTGATGTGTTGATAATATTCAGCAAGCTATTGAAAGAAAAGTTAAACACTTACCAGCAGACACAACAGCAATTAACACGGAAGCCATGTAATTTTGTAGAGATAAACAGTTTGCCTTAAAAATTATGGCTTATTATCATAGTTCCCTAATATTTCAGAATGTTTTCATTTGTACAAAAATACACTTATTTTTAACACTGTGGGGTTTTTTTTGTAAAAATGAATAAAATTCTCAATGATCTTAATTTTTCTTTCCTCCAAGTGAAGTTCTTTCATTTTCTGTATAATATTTTTAAACAAATAGTAAAGTTCTTGGCACTTCATTTCAGTGATTTGGAATTTTTAAACTGTGTTATTTAGGCATCTTAAATATAGTCTCAGAGGTCTGCACTATATATTTTTTTCTTTTATTCCAAATCAGTTTCAAAAGCATTTACTAGTTAACAAACTATCCTCTCAAATTTTTATTGAGCTCTGGAATTATCCCAATTATATTTTTTTATACATGGGTGAACAAAGTAAAAGGAGAGTTTCATAGAATTCAACCTGACAAACTTCTGCTCCTAACCTGATATATTTTATGATGGCATTCTAAGATCTTAGTTTTGAAATGGTATGTGCTGTTCCCTTGCTTTGTTTACACCAAAGCAGAGTATTATTTTTCTTTTTTAGCGAGGCTCAGTAAATACTTAAAATCACCAAATCATTTGAAAACTACACCTAGATTTAAAGTATTATTTAAATTTGGTAATATTCTCTGCAGAAGTAGCAACCTGTTATTATTAATTATTGAAATAAGACATAATTTTGGGCTTATTGGATTTACATTATCTGAACTTAATAATTAAATCTACCCCAAGGCTGCTTGTTAAGAAAATCTTTACATGAATGTATAATTTCCTAGGACATGGGTATCAGTCAGTAATTAAAGTATTAAACATAATACTGTGATTTCTTTTTAATATTGATCAAATGCTTTCTAAGTTCCACTTTTGCATTATTAAAATGTAGTCACATAACCCAATAAAAATTTATTACCCTTAACAATCCAAAGTTTGTTATTGAAAACACTTTTGAAAACTTGTAATTTGAATATCTGATCAGATGATATTTCCCAGAAATTATTCTTTATTTATAAACAAAACAAGACAAAAGCAATTGTTTTTAATCCAAAATGTATTTTTCCTTATAAAAGAGGTCCACATACTCACTGTGTCTACTCTACAGAATTTGTCCTTTTTATTACACCACGTGTCAATTAATTGTATCTGGTCACTGCAAAAACTCGTGGCTAATATGTGTAATACAACACAGGAGGAGGTATTGCTCAGTTCAACTACTCTTACATACTTAAAAAAAATACAGAAATGTTTTTTGTCCACTTTAACTGTAGTCCAGACATAAAAGTTACACGAAAGTTCTAGAAAATGGAATTATTTGGTTGCCACAGTACCCTTTGAAGCCAGTTAATTAAAATGCTGAACGTGTATGTATTTCCATTGGTCAGGAGCAGCATTGGTGAAGCTTAACCTTCTTTATAGAAAGTAATATTTTTCTTCCTATTTTTTTTTAGCACAACTTCAATATTGAGTTTTCTTTGAAGTAGATTTAGTTTTTTTAGGACATATTTGTTGGCACACCTATAACAGTTGCTTTCACTTCCAAGGATGTACTCTTTTCTTTGCCTACCTCCCAGAGGTTTATCAGAGGAGGATAAAGCTCACTGAATGCAAACGTTGGTTTGTGTAAGTAATTCCTCATATAGTTATGTCCACCATCACAGTTCATTTCTTGAGAGAGGCAGATGAAAAGACATATCACACCGATAATCCCCAGAAGGCTTCCAAGGCAGGCCATAAATATTGTGGCATTACCCTTTTCAGATCCTTTTTGATCAGGGTCCGAAGCTTTTGTGGTGATGTTTACACATTGTGTTCTGATTTTCTGATAGATGGTGGGAATATCAATACAAATTTTATACTCAGTGGATGGGTTCAGATGAGTAAGATTATACACCTTGACATCCGCTGGTATTCGAGCACTTTGGGCAGCATGAAAATTTTCTGTCTTGACAAAGGCAGTCCATTTAACACTGGATTTGAGAATTTTTGAACTTGCTTTCCAAGACACCAGAACTGAATTGGCCCGAATATCTCTTATTTTAATATTCAAAGATCCATTATTATCCTGGGCAAAAGAACCATCTACTTTTATCATAACAGACTTCAAGTCAGCTCCAACTAGGTTAGTCGCTATGCAAGTGTACAGGCCCCCTTCTTTTGCAGTGACACCGCTTATATCTAGTGTGCCTTCCGAATGGACATAGAACTTGTCTGTCAGGGTATTAGGCAAGAGCTTCTGACCAGAAGGCGTTATCCAGTAGATTTCAGGCTGTGGCTCTGCAGTGGCTCGACAGTGAAGGGAGACATAGCTATCAGCTTCTACATCCAAATTAGAAGGAAAACTCTCTGGAGCTATAAGAGGGAGGCAAATTTCCATCATGTCTCTGAAATGCACTTGCCGGACATTCTGGCCTTGGAACTCAGGTGGGTCCACACAAAATAGAGAATCCGGCTCCATAAATCGAATGTTGGTCTTGTTCATATTAATCCAACGTATGACACAGTCACACCGGATGGGGTTGCTGTGTATGCTGATTTCCTTGAGGTTTGGCAGTGACTCAATGGTACCATGGTAGAGGGCGCTCAGGGCATTGCTATTCAGCATGAGTGATTCCAGCTTGGGGAGTCTGAAAAACGCATTAGGGTGAATATAAGACAATCTGGGGTTGTTAGTAGCTTCTATTTTTCTTAAGTCTGGCAAGTTATCCACAGCAAGACTGTCGATGGAAATCAGCTCAGGCATATTATTTATTCCCAACTCTTTTAAGTGCAGCATATTGCTGAAATCACCCCTTCGTATTCTATTAATAGGATTTTTATTTAGATCTAAAAATTTGAGGTTTACAACTTTTTGAAGAGCAACATGGGGCACTTTAATAAGCCTGTTGTCATAAAAAGAGATGCTTTCTAAGTTTTCAAGTCCCACCAAGGCATTATCTGGTATTTCTGTGAGGTTTATACCAGCTATAACCAGACTCCGAAGATTGATAAGAGGCTTAAAGTTCATGTCTTTAATTTGAATGATTGGATTTTCCCCAATCATGAGAATCTCTAGATTCGGAAGAGCATCAAACCACTTGCTGTTGATCATCTGTAGTCTATTTGAATTGAGATGAAGTCGAAGAAGATTGTGCAGGCCAATAAAGGCTCCAGGTGAAATTGTAGAAAGCAAGTTGTGATTAATATAGAGTTCTTGTAAGCTGTTCAGACCAGACAGACATTTTTCAGGTAGTTCAATGAGCTTATTTTCCTCCAGGTACACAGAAAGAAGCTGAGACATCTTTTTTACATTAATGTTGGTGACAGAAGATAAATTGTTCTGAGATAAATCCAGGCCTGTAAGGTTGACTGGAAAGTCTATGGAATACTCAATTTTTGCAATGTTGTTAGTCTGTAGGAGCAGGATCTGTGTGTCAGCAGGCAATCTGGCTGGGAAATTTAAAAGACCTAAATCATTACAATCCACTGTAGATGCTTCCATATACATAGATCTGGGTGTAAACCAAGGCCTGATTTCACACGTACATAGTTGTGGGCAGTCCACCTTTTTATCTACCGCTTGTACTAGTGTAGTGATAGCTAGGCCAAGTAGCACATGAATTCGGAGTGGCATGTCCTTCATCTTAGCTTTCCTCTTCAGAAATGTAATGGGCCCTTAAGGATTCCACAGTCACTGCTAGTAAGTTCAGTAAGAGCTGAATGATACAGAAAATACTTGCATTTGTCAAATGATGAATGCCAAAGAACTGCAGAGTTTTTCTTCATGGAGATACATGTGAACGCCACGATTGCATTGGCCAAAAATGTCGTGCATATTAGAGAAAAGAAGGTCACTGGTTCTTTAATGATAGAATATTGATGTACTTTTTGAAGATGCTGTATGTATAGATGATTACAGGAGATTGAGCAATTCATTTATTTAGGATTGTACTCTTCAGATCCCATGCTTCTTCAGTTCTGCAGGAATAGTAGCATTATGCTAAGTGAAACAAAATAAACCAAAGAGAAAAGAGAAAAATTATTAATACAAAGGAAAAAAGCATAATTAATACCCATGTGCTACCTTTAATTATTTACTGTAAAAATGATACTCTTAGAGTCTGCAGTTACTTCAGTATGTTCTGATGACTGAGCTTGCTATGACCATTCTTGAGAGTTCTTGACCCACACATTGGACAGGCTGACAAAGTTAATCTTTAGAAGGCTGAAGTTTCATTTAATGTAATAAATATGTCCAGAATTTTTGTTATTTCAAATTTTTACTTAACATTTTAAATTTTAGTGTATTTTTAAATTTTCTCTAATAAGTACAGGGGAAAAAACAACCTTTCAATGATGATGGCTTTTTTCTTCCTCTTAAAAAGGCAAAATGCAAAGGTTATAAAGAAATGGTACTGTTCTGCTAGACTCAAACGATTCAGGCTGTAGTTCCTTGTGTTCTTAGGAGATAATTTTAGAGGCAAAATTATAAAATGATTGTTAAATGAACTACAAATTGTGTTATTAGCTGGATTTCCCACTTTCATCCATTGTTCTGTCCATAGTCTCCTTTGTATAAAGTCATTTGAATTTTGCAGTATTTAAAAATATTAACTTATTAACATACAGTAGATAAACCAGTAAATTATCATCTTAACTGAAATTCAGATTAATGCTTTTAAGCATTAATCTGAATTTATTTATCCTGGAGAATAATTTATGTTCCATAGTCACTAACAAAGAAGAAGCAACTTTATTATACCAGTAAATCAGACACTTAGATATTCTGTCTTTTAAATGGACCAGTGTCTTTATCACTGGAAACCAATGTGAAAACAAACTGCCATTGTTATATGTTTTGTGTTTTAAAGTAGTGCCCCGCTTTTAAGTGTATACTTTGCCCAGAGACTGATTTATTTATCCTGGAGAATAATTTATGTTCCATAGTCACTAACAAAGAAGAAGCAACTTTATTATACCAGTAAATCAGACACTTAGATATTCTGTCTTTTAAATGGACCAGTGTCTTTATCACTGGAAACCAATGTGAAAACAAACTGCCATTGTTATATGTTTTGTGTTTTAAAGTAGTGCCCCGCTTTTAAGTGTATACTTTGCCCAGTTGTACTTCGATTGTACAGGAAAGTTTGGACACAGGTAGGTTTTTCCTTCTGTGGCCTGTTGCTTCCCAACAATAATGGTCTAATAATAGTCTGTGAATACTGTTCCTATTTCATCTCTGCCCAGTATTGACATTCAAAACACCATTGTGGACTGAAGATAAAATGAGGTTGGTGCTTTAGTGATAGAAACAAATATCCTTGGAGATGTGGTCTCAATGGAGACTCAGAAATACTACTCTTTTAAGTAAAAAGAAAATTCTTGTTTCTCAAAATTTTAAATTATTTACAATTTAAAGTCACACCTGATTTGCCACTTTTATTTTCAGAAATCTAATTTTATTTAAAAATTGAATCAGGATATTCAGATAACTACTAAGTTTACCATGAGTTAAAAGTATATTTGCCACTTTCTTCATTATTGAAATACAGTGTCTTTTGCTTTTTAATGAACATTCCAGGCAGTCTTCTAATGTACTTTAAGTAGATTCTAAGCCCTTTGAGGATAGAACTAGTACAACACTTTCTTTATGAAGATGCCTGAAGAATCCTCAGCCTGTGAAGCCTTCCACAACCTGGGTTCCTGGTTTTTCTCCACATTTCCCTCATCATTTGCTGTTTTCCTGTGTGCAGTCTCCTCCCTGTCGGTAGAGGTATTGGTCTCCTCCCCTGTTCTTCCTTCCTGGCGTTCCTCTTTGTTTTAGAAGAACTTTTACTGTTTAAATCTCACTTCAAACATCTCTCCTCTTGGAAGCCTTCCTTTCACATAATCCCTCCCCACAGTTCTGCCTGGCGACCTCCCCTCCCCTCCTGACCCTAGTACACACCTCTGTCACATCACTTCCTGGGCTCTTTCATCAGCCACCAAATTCCTTGAGAGCAGACACTTGCCTGACTTTGTATCCACACCTCCTGGGTGGGGTTGGTAGTTAGAGAGTAGTGCTTAGGATGCTTAGATCTTAAGGGGGTAGATGCTTAAGAAATGTGTTCAACAAACTGGTAAGTGCATTTTATTAATTAATAAATTTATATATGCCTCATTTTACATATAATTTAATTCATTTGTTCAATTTCCTAATTTTAATAAGTTTAAGTTTAAGTGCTTTAACTCACGTAAGTCTCGTGTGTGTTACCTGTATTTGTGTAAAACCTAAAGAAAGTCTATCAGTCAGTTGTAGCTTATCCTTTAAATTGTTCAGTCAACATTGAGCATCTTCTGAGAGCTACTTATGGAGTTAATAACTAGAGGAAAGAAAGAGACTTACATATGGTCACTTTCTTTAGTAAGCTTTCAGTCTGGGGGAAAAACACAAGTAAGCAGTTGGAAACCTTCCATACAAGAGCTCATAGGGAGTCATATAGGACAGGCAACCGGATAAAATGAATATAGAAACCTATTGCCTCTTTCTCTCTAGAAAGCAGAAATAGCCTAGGTGAAAGTACAAAATATATTTCTGTGTGTGCCCATAAACCACTCATCTGAGAATGAAAAAACTATGACCTTTGCCAGTCAATGAGCTGGATCCACTTTTCCAGCTGGGTGAAGAAGAACCTATCTCCTCCTTTATGTTAACCACATGACTGGAAATATTAAAGATGAAGCATTTTCTTTGGTGCAGCGATGACCTAATAATTTTATTTTGATATTATGCTTTGTATGTTTAATTAGAAACTCTTTTCTGACCTCATTTCATCATTTATGTACTCAGATATTAGAAACAACCATATTTTAAGCCAGACTTATCCTGGAAGCCTTTGCAAACAAGAGTTCTTAGAACTGAACAAATTCAAATTTTGCTTAGGTCTGGTCTGTAGAAAGAAATTGACAGATCTGACAGATCCCACAGCTAACAAGTGATGGCGTGAGATTGGAACCCAGGCCTTCTCCTGGGGCCCTCACGTGTTCCTAGAAAGCTGTATTGCACACATATATAGAAATGATATGGGGTTATTTTAACCATTAGTTAGTACAATGATTTTATTTCTCAAAAACAGTTCATATTACCTGGGTCTTCACAGTTTCAAGCTTATAAAGTTACCTTTTTCACTCAACTAATAATGACTAGGGTGTGAGTCACACAAATGGAACTAACATGGGACTAATATACAAAACCAAAATGCCAATTTATTTTAATGGAAAATACTACTGAGAGAAGAGAGTGCCGAGTTCTGAATTTACAACCCACTGCTGTTGTTCCATTTAGAAACATACTTTTGGAAAGGTAAAGTATGCATGTGTAGTGCTCCTATGAATGGGGGGCCAGAGGATGAGCAGCCACGGCGGGGCTCTGAGTGATGGCCCCTCAGAGATGACAGCCTGCATGTCTTCTGAAGGGAGCAGCAGGTCCATGGCAAGTGGAGCTTTTGAGTCTCTTGGTCTTTGATGTGATCTCTGGCACCAAACCCCTTCCCAGAGGCTTTTCCTGATATTTTTGGTTACCGCTACCTGTGTCTGAATCATTTGTTTATATTTCATTATTCCCTTATTAGCACAAGATTAGTCAGTATTAATATTCATTAGATTATTGGATCATTAACAAGCATTAGATTGTTAGATTATTCCTTTACAGGATGTTTGATTATTAGATTATTTTTCTAGCTATATATTAAGATTATTGTTATTAAGGATGGTGTTCAACTCACCTTGAATATATTAATAAATTTAATTGGTTCAGTAGTATCTACCTCATTTCCTCTAGAGTATGTCATTAAACAAAGAGTTGCTGACTAATAACTGTGTCTGTCATTTCTGTTGAATGACAATGTGTGAACTAGTAATGAAAATAACTTAAAAAGTTAAGTCCTGGCCAATAAACAGCACAGCCAAATATCAAGAAGAAAATGCACCTTCAGATTTTTACATCATTTCCCCCTTGTTCATGTGATGTTAAAAGGTGGAAAAGTCAGTTATACTGCACCATGTCCACTGACAAAACAGAAAATGATTCACTTTCAAGGCGCCGATTTAAAAATATTGATGGTCTTTAGAGCATCTTTTGGCCTCACCACCAAGACAATGATTTCTGCTTTTGGCCACTTAGGATTTGAGCTAGATAACAAGTTAAATTGATTGCATTGATTTTAAGAGAAGGATTTCTGTTTCTTTTTTACACATACCTATGTATTTTCTTTAAAAATTGTATCTATAAAAATAAAAGAGCCCACATAATGTGTTATTATTCTTTCAAAATTTAAATTCCCAGAACATTCTCATTTTTTCTCCTCCCTTTCTCTCGTCTTTCCACTATTTCTCCTTTTTTGAACATATGGAATAAAAGATATCTCTTTGAAAAGCACTGGGAAGCTCACAAAAATTTGAATTAGATAATTATTGACATACTTACATAATTCCCACACTCCATCAATTATCAGTGATTTTTTTTCTTCTAAAATAAGTGAAAAATCATAACTTCAAAAGAAAAGCAATATTTCACATTGGGTGTTACAAGTTTAAAGGTTTGCAACTGCTGGGGAGATGTGTGAAGCCTGGGATATTCAGCCCAGGGACTCGCTATCTTAGTAGTGTATAGGGAAAATGTCTTTTTTGTCCTTTAAAATGTGCTAATTAATCCACAGGCAGCAAATGCTACTAAGAGTAGAAGGGTTTGTATTAAATGATTCCATTTGGTAAGAATGAATGTCCACGTGATCTCACTTAGGTGTTAAGTACTGTTCTTTTCAGTTTTCGTATAAAACTATTTTAGAATGTTGTTTATATCTTCTGTTATTCTTAAAACATGAGAATTGTCTGTAATTCTAAATGAAATAAATTCTCCTTGCTTTTTTACTGTTGAAAAGATAATGCTTTTGAAACGCTGTGTGAGTGAATGTATCATACAGAGCTGGACTTTATAGTTCTTATCATTTGTCCTCTCTCATT